TTTTTTTTTTTTTTTTTTTTTTTTTTTTTTTTTTTTTTTTTTTTTTTTTTTTTTTTTTTTTTTTTTTTTTTTTTTTTGGAACGATGACAACGCGTCGTTCGCCATTTCGAATTTTCTCTTTAGTATCGTGTGCCGCGAATGGGCGGACTGATACAACGATAGGTCCTCGGATACGGTCATTTTGACTGTGTTTGCTTTGTGTTGTTTCCTTTTTTTTTTTTTTTTTTTTTTTTTTTTATTAAAATTACAATCAATTCTCGCGTTGAGAATCCTATTCTATGCTCTTTGTATCGTTGTAGGTTTCGTTATCTGCTACCAATACGGCAATTGTTATCGAGCAAGAAGGAATATAAAATGGTACTTTGATGTTCTTAGTCTAGGTCTTCTAAAATATTCGATGATCTTTTTTATTGTTATCCGCTTATTGGAATAGAATGTGTAAAAAATTGTATGATACCTGTATACTTCTTAGGGAACTATTAAGATAAATTATCTCTGCAATCATTTGAGACAATCGCTTGTTTTTGTAGTGTAACCGGTAGTTTGTTTAAATGAAATGTTATTTCAGCCAATTATCTATCGACACCGATTCGCGTGTAAAATTTTCATAGCGTTGTTAACGAATCGGAAAACAACGTTTGCCCGTTAACATCGCGGAAGAACGAAGATTCTAATTGGAAATGACAGCTAGCGAATTCGAGATCAAATAACTTTCCCGGCATTCTCAAGTCAAATGTTCCTTTGATATTCTTGTTTAAGTGGCGAACGCGAAAGATTGCATATGTGTGACAAATGGCCATAATTGAAGTCATTAGAGACGTAATTTCTCTGAACTGATTATTGGTCAATGCTCCCGCGATAAATTACGAGGAAAGGCTATTAAGAAATTACTTTTACGAATACCACGATCTCTTTGCTCGAACTCGTTCACCTCGAATATCTTGAAATTACAACGACGATCGAGATTCCTAGAACTTCGCGATATTTTCTAACAAGTACAGAATAGAATATCGTCGATAAATGTAATTACTTACAATCGGACACTTCGAACGCGCGATACAACATTTTTTTACCATCTGTAACCGCCAATTAATAAGTTGAAGTTTCATTTTGCCACGCTATTAATGAACAGTTTATTCATCTGTCCATATAAATATATTTTGCAATTATAATTCTCGTGAAATCTTACTCGTCTCATTAGGCTACCGCTCGTATCTCGAGTTACTTTTTATCCTAATTAAAATTCATCGAAGACCTCGGTTTCGTAGTTTGAATACTTCGAACAGATCTACGTTGACGAATAAAAAAGTGAAAAGTTTCTGAACGAACTGTCGCGTAATTCGAAGTTCGTTTCGAACGTTTTACGAAAACCTTTCACGTAGCACTAAAACGGGAAATTACACACGTTAACGATAATTTTCTAATATCTTCCTTAAAGCTAGGAGATACGTTAACTATAGGATGATCGAGTGGAGTGGAAAAACCACTCTGAAAAGGCGTAACAGCGTTGAAATTGTAAAACGTTCTTCAAAATGTTTGAGAACCTCCCACCGTAACAAACGTCACGCGATTTCACTTGCAATTGATCGAAGAGTGCCTGTAAAAAATACCATGAGCGAGGCTGAAACGAGTATTTTGGAAAACAAACGGAACCTATGCATTGATGTAATTGATCAAAAATGCAATTTCAATATACGCAAATTTACGAGAAAGGAAAATGTATCTGTAAGAAAGCCTCTTCGGTGCGAAGAAAGCTGAATGCCACAGACAGAAGGTAAAAAACAATTAACCGACGTCCATCAGCATCGACATTTTCCTCTGTAGCGTTCCAGCACAGTCGATGACCATTTAGAGCGCGAAATTGCATTCAAACGTCATACTGCAGTGTCTTCATTGGAACGTAGAACACGTTCGAATAAGAAATTAAAATTCTTCGACTCTTCTGCTACCTACGGTGTTCTACGAGCGCTCCTCGATCTCGAAGTTAGGAGATTTCACCTAGCTGTTTCACAGAGCTTGGGAAGCTGACGCCGAACGACGGACAGATCTTTTGAAATCGCTTTGTCCACCAGTCGCTTGAAACATTGGACGATTGGAATTGAAGCAACATCGCGGTCGCGCTGAATTTCGAAAGAAAAAGAATAGAAGAAACGGCTTGCACGAAGAACAATCGGAATGACGCATGCGGAAAACCGGGCTTAGGGTCGGGTTAAAAGGGACAGTTTCCACCGGCGTTACATGTAAAGTATAATCGTACATCTACCGTATATATGAATACGTACATTGTATATGTAATTCCATCGTATCGTTTAATCAGCCTCTTTCATCGACAGCTATAAAACCGATATTTGAACAGAGATCGCAGTTAATAATTAGCGTCGCGCGAATATCGCGTGCATGCGATTGATATAGGATCGTTAACAAGTTCAGATTGGGTGATCGCTGCCACGGACATCTGGAGGCGCGATAAGAGCGTCCAGCTTATCGATCGCGATCCTCACGCGGATCGCCGATGTTTTTGGCCGATGTATCCTGTGTTGCTTCACTCTCTTCGCGTCCTTAAATGGTAGTTTAATTAATCGCTTAAAATCATAACTAATAACGCCTTAAGTTGCTACGCTTTTTTTTTTCTATCACAATATTTCTTTTTCTTTCTTTTTTTATTTTTCTTTTCTCTCTCTCTCTCTCTCGCTCTCGCTCTCGCTCTCACTCTCTATAAACAGAAACAAAAAAGAGGGTGGGGGCAATGAGAACGTCTCGTCTCGTCGTTTAGTTCTTTTAAATCCGCAAAGAACGAAATGCATTCGCCTAAGTTACGTTAGGTAGACGCGTGAAGGCGCGTCCTGATCTTCCGTTTCACGAGCCCGCGCCGTATGCTTCGTCTCGGCCCCGGAAGAAAGGAATGCATCGATTCGATTCGCGTATTGAGCATACGTTTCATCAGTGAAGCTTCTTCGATTCGATGATAACGAGGATGGCCGTGTCGCGCGTTTCCAAACACGTCACGTGTCTATACATGTGTGTGTGTGTGTGTGTGTGTGT